TGTTTCATATGCAAAGATTTTTGGGCAAACCAAAATAAAATTAAATTCCAAGGATAAAAATTTTGGCGTCAGATTTCAGAAACTAAAACTCGACTGAGTTCAAATTTTAGGATTAACTCTTTAATTATTGTTTTATTATCAATTTCTTTTGTGTTATGAGATTATTAAGTGTGTTATGTCTATCTCCTCTTTTTTTTCAATTTCATTACCTCCACTACTTTCATTAGGTATTAATTTTTCACTACTCTATTACTCCTGTCTTTAATATTGTGACTCACCTTCCACTCACATTCATGTGATTTATTGTCCACTATGTCATTGAGTATAAGTGTAACGTATACGTAACACTATGCCTATAAATAAAACATGTCGTTGTGAAGTGAAGCAGGTAAAAAAAAAATATAATTCTTTTATTTCTTGTCTATATCTTTTTTCTAATTTATTTTCTTTGTTCGTTAATTTTATAACATTACGGTTGTATTAAAAAAAAATTATCATATCATTGATTGGGCCTTCAGCTGGTTGACCTTGAAATCGGAACCACTGAATTTTTTTTGGTTTTCGGATGGGTTTGAAAACATTGGTTTGTACAAAGCCCAAAAACCCTCGTCATATTGGGCTTGGGCAGAAGCAAGCCCCGAAGCCCCATGAGGCTGCTCTTTATATAACAAGCATTTTAGGGTTTTGTTGTTCCTGCACCTCGCGAACGCCAATCGCCCGTTGAGACAGGCGCCATGGGGAGGAGTAAGCATCAATCTCTCTCTGAAGAATTCGATATTTCTCAAACGTTCTATTTGATTTCATTTTTCTACAAGGGCTTCCATGTGTTATTTCTCCTTGTAATCTGTTTGCTGCTGATTTCGTGTAGATAGTTCAAATTCATATGGAGTCATATGTGGCTTCATCTGCATTACATTTGCTTTGGTTATGTACATTTCTCATCTGTTCCTGCTATTCCACCTGTGCACGTCAAGGTTCTGAATGTCGCACAGATTGGTATCTTTCCTGGGTTCGTCGCATTTACCGAACGAGTTGCTTATGAAATTTTCTGCTGGAAGTTTGATAATTTGGTTAAGTGCCATCGAAAATAGTGGGGTCATTGATTTTTCATAGACCTTACCGTGCGGTTGACATGTTCGAATGTCAGCTGTTTCAATCGGCTTCTTTGGAAGATGAGTTTGCGCATTTCTGCTCGGTCGAGTCTTTATTTAATTTATGTGAGCTGGGGAAGGAATTATTTTGAACGCTGCGTGACCCAATAACTTTGTATCGAAATAGATCTACCAATATTTCAATTGCATTCTTGGTCCTCAACCATTTAAACTACATTTTAGGTGCGTGGAAATTGTACTTCATGGTTTTCACCACTGCTGGCTCTCACTACTGATAATATATCAAAATCTATCCACGAAGAGTTTCTATAGTTATTCATGATTGTGATTCTATGCCTCATTACCACTGGATAGTTAATGTCTGTGAGCTTAAATTTTGAGCTCGTGTGACTTGGTTTTTAGTTGATGATGCTTCATAACATCCCGATTCATTTCTTGCACTGCTCATGCTTGTCATGGTCTGTTTATGATGTCTATAGTCTAATTCCATGATTATCAATTTGCTGTAAATAATAGACACGGTTGTAAAGTAAACTAAATTTCTGATTGTATGGCTAAATGACGCAGGACCAGCAAGGTGCTACAGGCAAATTAAAAAACAAACCTTACCCAAAATCACGCTACTGCCGTGGAGTTCCTGATCCTAAGATCAGAATTTACGATGTTGGGATGAAAAAGAAAGGTGTCGATGAGTTTCCTTTCTGCGTCCATCTTGTTAGCTGGGAGAAAGAAAATGTTTCAAGTGAGGCCCTGGAAGCTGCTAGGATTGCATGCAACAAATATATGGCTAAATTCGCCGGAAAGGATGCATTCCACTTGAGGGTTAGGGTACATCCATTCCACGTTCTTAGGATTAACAAGATGCTTTCATGTGCTGGAGCTGATAGGCTCCAAACAGGGATGAGAGGTGCATTTGGAAAGCCCCAAGGAACATGTGCTAGAGTGGCTATTGGTCAGGTCCTTCTTTCTGTTCGCTGCAAGGACAGCAACAGTCATCATGCTCAGGAAGCCCTCCGTCGTGCTAAGTTCAAGTTCCCGGGCCGCCAAAAGATCATTGTTAGCAGGAAATGGTATGCTTGTCTCATTGCCTTTTGTTATGGTGGCATCTGAACTTGAATTGTTGTATAATATATTTAATTTTAGAACAGTCTTGTTTGTGCGGTTCGCTGTTTTCTGTTTCTAATTTGTTTGGAATTTTTGACCTTTTTTAAAAAATATATTGAATTAACTAAATGATTATCTTTTTCTGATGAATTTCTAGATGTGTTTTAAGATCCTTTTCGAAAATATTTTGATCTGAGATACAGATATAGAATGATGCCCTGTACCAAATCCGTGAGTCGCTGGATTGGTTGTTAAGCGATTTGATTGGTGAAAGGTGGCAAGTGATGTGAAATTTTTTGATTTGAGATGCATAAAAAGAGTAACCCCTCGTATACGTACTAGAGTTAGATTTGACATCTGATGGTTGTCTGGGTCTGCTTTCCTTGTCATGTGGACTACGTGGACGATTTGCATTTGGTTCGCAGCAGTATCATTATTCTTTAAACTTCTTTCTCAGGGGCTTCACCAAATTTAGCCGGACCGACTATGTGAGGTTCAAGTCAGAGAACAGGATTGTGCCGGATGGTGTCAATGCCAAGGTAATGCGAAATATGATCGTTTACTTTACTTGAATGCCAAACGTTGGGGAATGGTCTATTTTTCCCCATTCTGGGAAATGAAATGATTCGTTAGAGCGCAAAACTTTTGAACACGTCCTGTGTTGGAGTAAATAACTGGCAGATGAGGTGTGAAACCGAATTAACAGAGTCAGTAATATATTGGAGCTTCTGCTCCTCAGAGTGACAATTTCTATGGTGAATGAGTTTCTTTCCATTTTTAATTTCCTCTGTAATTGGATTATTTGAGATTGGAGCTTACCATTTCCTTCTGCATTTTTCAGCTTCTTGGATGCCATGGACCTTTGGCTAACCGTGAGCCCGGAAGAGCTTTTCTGCACGCAACTGCTTAGGCCGTCTGTTTCATCTTTGAATCAGGATAATTATTAAAGACTGAGTTTTGGTTTCTTATTTGTTATCGTTGCTGCAGCAAACCATGCTAAGAGTTAACTTTTGTTTGTTCGAACTTTCAGTGGAATGAATTCTTTTCAGTGGCATGACTTTAGTTTTGTTTTATTCCAATAGTTTGTTTTATTCCAATCCCTTGCGTCAAGACCATCTCATCCTTTTGTTATTTGTCAATCAATTTATTGAGCTAAATTGAATAGGGAAAATCCGAAAATACTTGTTGAATTTTAAAATTTTAAGGCTTGTTTGGAGCTCCGTTCAAAACGGCTTTAAGCAAGTTCACGTAAGCCGAGACAAAACTCTCCTCACATACTTATCTCGTATTCCGTAAATCACGTTTGAAAAGCTACTTATAAGTCAATCCAAAAAGCTCTAAATTGATAACCATAGTTACTATATGATTATATTTAAAAAAGAAATGTAATATATTTTTGTAGTAATTTTTAATTCAGAATTTTAAATTTTAAAATGTATTTTTTTGAAATTTTTTCAATTGAATGATGTCTATTTACTTATTCAACAAATAAATGTCATCGTGCTGTTGAATTCCTCATTTGATATCGGTTTATATATGTCAGATGTGAGTCAAGCTGCATGATTTGGCAATGCGGCTGGAGATTCAGAGGGTTGTAAATTATAAGAATTATTTTCTGTTGGGTTTTTAATGGACGCAGCTTCCCCCTTTTTTTGACCTGGGAATGAATCGAAGCTTCGGCAAAATTAGTTATCGGCGAAGTTTTGTTGCTGATGAATGCGATGGATTGTCTTCCGCCCCGGGGGGGGGGGAGCCATCGGTTCCTTTTAGGCTTTGACATTTTGGTTGACCTTGATTTGCATTTTGTTATATCGAAACAGTAATTTTGCATTATGAAACATGAACTGAGGATAAGGGAAGAAGACAGGTAACATCTATGAAACATGCAAGGTCCAAACTAGTATTCCAAAATGACTGAAAATTGGTATTCTAAAATGACAGATTTTTTCAGGAGTATTTTGAAATTCTATCTTTTTTTGTTTTAAAATGACTTCATTTTTCTCAAGCATTTAAGAAAATCCTACTTTTATTGCTTGTCTGAAGCGCCGGCGCTCCGATACCGGCTTGCGGAGTTTGTAGTCGAGGAATTTTCGGTTAACTGGGTTAAGGTAAGGTTAGATTTGTTCCCAGCTTTTTTTTTTTTTGGGTTAAAGTTTCTGGAATAATATTCAGTCATCGAGCTACAAATTTCTAACTAATATAATGTAAAATAATATAACTCCTAAGCTAATAGTAATTTTTACTCAATAAATAATAAAAACAGCTTAACATATAACAAGTTATTTCTGATTTAGTCATTCTATTAAAAACTGGAGTTAATATTTTAAATTGGATGGATAGTTATCTTGTATTATTACATGAGAGCAATTAGACTCTAAAGATTTTTGTGTTATTTCAGTATTTTCGGGTAGTGATTTGATCTTGCCCGTTAGAGATTTGCCTGACTTTTTAGTTTTTTTTCCCATGAGATAATCACTCATGACTTTACAGTTTAATTAAAAAATATTCGGATAGAAACCAATCATGATTTTAGAAATGATTTTATAATATACGAAATAAATATATAAAAGAATTTATCTCGATTTAAAAAAATATTTTTAAAAAACACTTTTCTTGATTTCCAAACACCTCCTAAATGAAATTTGATTAAACGAAATAATGTACGACTAAATGAGATGAATAAATGATCTTCAACAATGGGGGTTTCTTTATTTTTTTTTTGGCTCATAAACAATGGGAAGTTAAGCCTTGGAGTACCATGTCCTTGAAGGGAAAGACCAAAAGATCGACTGGTGGTGGTTGGCGGCGGAATTCCATCCCAATGTCAAGAGCAATCCATGGTCTCCTCCGGCGACGGGACGGGATCAATCACCATCTTCATCGGTTGAGTTCCCCATCTTCAGTATGCAGTCCAGCTCCACAGGATCTATTCTCGATCCCTTTTTCTTCTTCATGTTTGCCCTATCCTTCACGCGCCGACAGTTTGTTCCTCCGTACGCAATCGAAGTTTCTCTCCTCTCATTCATTTGCTGCGAAGCCCACCTCCTCAATTGGGACATTGTCCCGATTTTTATATTCTTCGGAGCAAAATCCTCTTTCTTCCGTGATTCGCGCTTCGCGGAAATACTACGCTTCTTCTAGCCGTACTCCCCAGACATTCTCTTCCAGGAGGTCTGTAATTCCTAAAGAGGGCGACAACTGTGCTGGGTTTCGCTCCTTCTCCTTTAAATCTTCTTATTTGGGTAAAGTCAATGGAGGTTTCGCAAAAAAGGTCATTGATAAGCCAGTGACTGCAGTGCGTTCTGCTTTCTCCCGATACAGTGAGGCCATCGGTTTGCAAGTTGAGGCATTCTTTAAGAGGAATTACCTGTTTCTACTTGGGGCAGCTGGCGTTATGGTTTGTGCGCTGCTCTGGAGGATCATGTTTGGGATTGCAAACGCCTTCATTGGGCTGTCGGAAGGCATGGCTAAGTATGGGTTTCTTGCCCTTTCATCTGCTATCGTTGCTTTTGCTGTAAGTTCTTTTAATTGTCCTATGTATTGTACCTTGTTGAGTTTGTGTTGCCTGAACATTCCTTGCCTTTCTGACTGGATCAGTTCCATTACTAAACGCTTCATATACCTGTTACTTTGGTTTGTCTCGACTAAGATTAGCATTCCTCCTGCATTAGGCATATTAATGTTGTATGATATCTACAAGCTTTTCCTGAATGTGTTAGACAGATTATTGTATTTTGTTCCCACATACAAACTGGACTGGAGCTTCAGAGCATAGATCAGTTTGCAGAGGGATAACACAAACAATATGAAATGTAGCATCCATAGCCTCCCATTAAGCTAATGGTTGGTTCTCCCTTGCCGAACTTTCACTTGGAAAAATGGTTTTCTCCTAAACTTTGCTCCATTGATCGATGGCAGCGATTCTATGTTCATTTCTTTTCTACTTGCATTATGTATATCAGTTATATTTCAAGATTTACTTTCCAGGATTTTCAACTCTGAGACATCGAAGTCTAGGCTACAGAACGCTACTTCTTCAGCTATTTGTTAGAGGTGCTTGTTCATAATGAATATTTAAAATCATGGGATGCTTGCTAGTTGCTGTCATGAAGTGCAGCCCTATGTATACCTGTGATGCCCAGTTGCTGATCTCATGATGTTAGAGTCAAACTGCACTCCTAGTTAGTTTTCCATGCGCCCCTTTTGGACTGTTGATCAGCAACATATTCCTTATAGTCACTAGCCAATAGGTTGTGATTATTCCAATCGTAAATTTCTGTGCATAGTGATAGTACACTCCTTAATGTACTTCCTAAGAAAAATTTTGGAACTGTATGTTTGCCACTGTGAATTACTACTGATGGGACTAATCTCTACTTGTTAATAAATCACACGTTAGCTTGTGGATCATCACTAATTATCTTTAGCACTCTGCATTTTCAAGGGCTTGTACATTCGCTCAAGATTCACAATCAACCCTGATAAAGTATATAGAATGGCCATGACAAGACTTAACACTTCTGCTGGGATTCTTGAAGTTATGGGTCCCCCCCTTTCAGGAACTGATTTAAGAGCCTATGTGATGTCAGGAGGTGGGCTGACAATAAAGAAGTTCAAGCCAAGTATTAGGAGCAAGCGATGTTTTCTCATTTTTCCCATAAGAGGTTCTGAGAGGAAGGGTCTAGTAAGTGTTGAAGTCAAGAAAAAGAAGGGCCAGGTAAGCTTTGAAGTGTCCTATTTGATTCTGAAATTACTGCATCTAGCCTGGCTTATATGAATGTGTCATATATCCCATACTGTCCACGCATTGTCTTTCAACATCAAAGTCTGCTACGTGGTCATTGTAACTGGGCATGTTTTGTATCTCCGTGTTCTGGAATTCAACATGACATATCGCTAAAGTGTTAAATCCTCTTAAATTGTTGCTGCTTGGTGTATGAAAGGGTTATTTTACTTACGCAAATGGTTGGAATAAATAGGTTGGAAATAGCTAAAACCTAATTGCTTGAATTAGCTTGAAGCAAGAAATAGATTTTTGTCATTGAATACATACACAAGCATGCTTTAAGTATGTATCTTAGGCAACTCCCACAGAATTAAAGACCATGAAATCACTAAGAAGCTACATGTTTGCCCTTTGTTCCTGATTTATACCATTCTTGGGGGCCACAAATTTCTTCAATTCTCTATCTTTTCAGTATATATCTTAGAGATGGTAGAGCGGCAGACTAATGTGGAGGAAAGCTTCTGAAAGCTGAATGACGGAAGCATAGCTAGATTTTTTTTTTTTAATTTGGTTTCGTTTCTTTTCTTCATTCCTTCCTTTTAAAAAAAGAAAAAAAAAAGAGCAAGAGGCTGCTGCCACCTAAATTGAAATTAAGCGCAGAACAACTTGGAAACATGATTGATTCAGTACTGGATAGTACTCATCCATTCAAGAGCAACAGACGTATTATGAAACACAACAGCCAAACTGGTAAATACAAAATGCAAAAATAAGGGAAGGAAACCATGTTTAGCATTCAAAGAGAGCTCTTGCCCAGAGAATCCTTCATCAAAATCGTCACACGTACCTACCTGCCTACCTACAAGCAAAGCACTCTCAAAATAACCTTCTGTCTCTTTCGTACTTGTCTAGTTTCCCGTAGGTCCATGCCTCAGCAGAAGTATTTATCACCGGGGGTTCTGCTTTCCACCATCCTTCCTCACTCGTCTTCCTCTTGCTCTTCTAGAATACGTTTTCAACCTATCACTTGGGCATCAATGTTCGGGGTTAATTACTACTAGATACTTTAATAATATCGACCTGGAAAACTCATCAGGGTTCTCAAAAAGAAGCGGTTGCTGAAGCTATTATTTGGGCCTTTGGACCTTGTATGCTTAAAATATTCCCGCTGCAGGTTCTATGACCAGAATGGGGTCTTGTTTGTGCTCAGCAATATACATCTAGATGCTTCAGAACAGCTGATTTTGATACTGTGTATTATTGCCATAAAAAAATTGAATGCAAGCGTCTTCTGGGTTCCTTTGAAGTCACGTCTATACTTATGGTTTGTCATGTGGCTTAGCCTGAAAATTTGTACCAGAAGTGAAGATATTTATTTGCGGCTTTGTGTGTATAGAACAGAGCTGCCAACTGAATGTCCATTGTGGAGACGGACTTCTGCACGCCCCCTTACTCACTGGTTGAGCTGTTTGCTGTTTGTAGAACCTGTACTTTCAGCTTGGTGAATTCACTGTTCCTTTTCCATGACACAAAAAAAGTCAGCTCTAGTGCTCTCAGTTTCCAGAACTCTGCCATAGTATCGTTTCTCTTGTAACCCAAAATCTGTGAAGGATAATCACAAACTTTTTTTTTTTTGTGTCTGCATCCCCCCCCCAAAAAAAACTTTATTATTTCTTTGGCCAAAAACTTGTCCTTTAAATTAGTTATGGAAATTTTCCAAGAACTAAAAGAAACGGGAAGTGAAAAACTTATGCAGCCTTTGCTGTAATCTATCTATGCAGTATGATATGAAGTTATTGGCTGTCGATGTTCCCATGGCTTCAGGCCCAGACCAGCGGTTGTTTTTGATCGGGGATGAAGAAGAATACAAAGTTGGCGGGGGACTGATATCGCAGCTTAGAGATCCTGTAGTGAAAGCAATGGCGGCAACCAAAGAATTTGATGATCTTGACCTGATTGAAGAAGAGGAAGATGCTGAAAGAGAACGTCAGGAGGCTGAAAGAAAGCAACGTGAAGAAATTGAAAAGCTGGAAAGCAGTGGCCCTCAGCAATAGTTCCTAATTTCTGGTTTTAATTTATTGATTTGTTATCTAAGTTTGTTTGAAGGATGCTGAGGCTTCAGTTGTCTGAGCTGCATTATTGTGGTTTATAACACATTTTTTTTTGTTTTGAGTTTCAAGCTAGGTAAGTTCACAACATCCTGTACCGCAAATTGCCAATTTTATCCGAACCAAAGTTGAGAAAATAAAGCATACAGGTACTGAGGTGCACAATAAAGGTTTTGACGTTTGACCCAAGTGTTTTAACCTTTATGAATGGTCGTTACTGTTTTAGACTTTAGTGTTGTTCCACACAGCGATGGCCTATGCATTTCCAAATAGAGATGTCCAGTTTCTTATTTTGTTGAAAAGCGTGTGTTATCTCTGTAACGTCAGCATGATAGTTGCTGACAAGCTATGACAGCCCACCTTGCCCTTAGAGATGCCATGAGTGAAGAAGGATCTCGAGGTTGGTTTGTGACAATAACTACGTTCTTGCTTAATTGATAAGTCTCCACCCAATTGACCCCACATTCACGCTGAGAAATTTGCCGACTTTTTAAATGGCCCTTCTGCTCAACCTATGTTTTTCCTACTTGTCTGCATGGGCTATCTCCCGATCAACGTTCAATGTCTTTCTCTTCCTCTCAGGTTCATTAGCGACCGGTTTTGAAGAAGACAACCAACCAAGCATCAAGAGAACGAACCAATGCCCAATGGACGGTGTGAGATTTTGGCAACTAGGCCCAGTTGCGAGTTCCTCCTTCAGAAATCCAAGTTAGGTTTGACCAAAAACACAAAAAATCCAAAATGAAGGTGTGTCTTTTTGCTGAGTTTAGTTAGATTGATGATGATGTGCCCGCCACGTCATATCATGACTCCTTTCAATCCATGTGCGGAACATTATGACAGGTTCGATGTTGAATATGAAATCAAAACAAACAATGATGTCTGTCATTTTTCTCCTCTCTGAATCTGAAATTACTTTGACCAAAGGTTCTAGCTTCATCATACCCCATTTGGCTCCTACCGATGTTTTGAGGATTTGGCGCGCAACTTCCAGGAACTCCTCATCCTAGCTCTCGGCTCGGTAGGCTTGTTCACAAAATGCTCACGTATAATACTACTGGAGGTAGAGAAAAGGAATATTATTTGAAAAGTGCACAACTGTATAAGGAGGAGCGAGGGAGTGGCCTTTTTGAGTGGTGGAAGTTTGAGCTTATAGACAACAGTACAATTCGTTGTATTGTTTTCATCAATGTTGCGTGGAACTTGGTGTCTGCAGTGTGGTTTCAGTGTTCAAGAGCAAGGGGTGGACAGGACAACACTAATGGAAGTGGTATGGTACTTGGTAGTTAAAAAGGCTTTGTTGTTAAACTCACTCATTATTCATCATTGCTGTCATTGAAAGTTATGAAGAACAATTATTTCCGGATTCATAACCAATCCAGTCTGATATCAATGTCATTTAGCTAACTTTCACTCTCTCTTTCTCGCTTTGTGCAATCTGACCTGTGAAGGACATCAAAAGTCAGCCGCTGATATATTTCAGTATTACTTGTTTATTTAAGATTATTATATATAAGTTAAGAAGTATATAAAATATAATCTATTTGTATTTAAATTCGTCTCTCATTTAATGCCCCTAAAATATTATAATAATAGATAATTAATTATTCCAGAAATGAAATTAAATTTTTTTTACTAAATGTTGTATTGGAATTTTAAAAACACATATAATATGAAATAATTTTTTCCCCAAGGACTAATATAATAATAGTAAGATGGCGGGAGTAATAAAACTGCCGTAATTGTCAGTCTGACGCAACCAATCCCCAGGTGATGAGCAATCGAGCATCAGCAATTAATAGGGCTGTATCGAATTTTTAAAATAAATTACCATGTTACTCATAATATGTAAATAATATAATTTGAAGTGAAAAAGTTGACTTTACTAATAAAAAAATAAATTAGTAGGGGATTAACTCTTAAAGAAATCGTAATTTATTTAAGTCCTTAAATTCATATGTAATAAAAACCAATGGTACATTAATTCAATAAAATTTCAAGGGTGTTGTGAAATTAAACGGTAAAGAAAATAGATTAAAGAAGAGATGTGGATAAGAAAATGAGATAATAATATTGTGTTCCTTCACTTGTTTCACTTGCATCACAATACAATAGTATGTCCTATTTATAAACATGGTCTTACATATGAATTACATTATTACTTAAAGGATAGATAGTATATAATAAACCAAATGAATGTGAAGTGGGGGTGAGTTACAAGATTAAAAGTATAGTGAAAAAGTAATGGAATAGTGAAAAATTAATGCTTAGTGGGAGTTGATGAAGTTGAAAAGGAAGAGGAGATGGACATTCACATTTGATAATAGTCATAACACTCCTTCTTGGATGTTCATTATATCAGGATGTGCCTCATTAAAAAACTTCAATTAGAAAAAACCTTGTGGGATAAAAACCTAGCAGAAGAAAAAGAGTACACATTCATTGATACATTATTCGGTGCTGCCTCATTAAAAACCTTGCTAAGAAAACCCAGTGAGAAAAACCATAGACAAGGAAAAAAGAGTACAGCGTGTATTTAACTCCCCCTCTTGATAACATCAATTGATATCCCTGAGTTTGTGGCATTCGATATCATGAATAAGTTTTTCAAATATTGTAATTGGAAGTGACTTGGTGAACAAATCTGCTAGATTTTTGTTTGAACGGATTTGCTAAATATATTTCACCATCTTTTGAATATTATAAAATACTTCATCTGGAATTACTAACATTTGGATCAAAAAAGAATTTACAACCTTTATTTTAGTGTCTTCGTGTTGGTAAAGAACTATATCTTACTAGTAAGTTAACAACAAATGATATATCAAGTCATATGTGACTAGCAAGATATACAAGTACACTAATTGTACTAACATATGGTATTTCTGGATCAAATAGTTTTTCATCAACTTCTCAAAGCCTAAAAAGATCTTTATTCACATACACAAATCTCACAACCATCGAAGTACATAATGAATATGATTTATCTATATAAAACACTTTAAGACCTTTCTTGTATCAATTATTCGATACACAAAAGTTTTTATTTCTCAGGTATTCAATTTGCAATCCGAGACAAAACTTTGTTCTTCCCAAGTTCTTCATTTCAAATTCTTTTTTTAAGCAATCCATAGCTTTTGTAAGCTCTTTAGGAGTTTCAATAATATTTATGTCATCACCATAAACAACAATTATAGTAAATTCATTTTCAAATCTTTTTCATAAAACTGCATTGGCAAATTGGATCATTTTTATATCACTTTTTCAATTGATATTTACTTAGTCGATTATACCACATATGCCCTGATCGCTTCAATTCTTATAGAAACTTATTTAGCTTAATTAAGTATTATTCTCAAGACCTTGAATTGTATGCTTCTGACAAGTAAAATCCTTCAGAGAATTTCATATATTTTGATCCATAATTATAAAATAAATGATACATACTGAAATTATTTTAATCTTCATAATATTTCATATACTGAAAGATTTTCTTATATATGCTTTTGGTATATTTTGGATACTTCAAGAATTATCATGTAAATTTTACTATTTAATGATCCTCATCCATGGGTCATAATAATATCTAACATACGCATTTCATAACTGCCAAACTATTCAAATATATAAAATTGTATCCATCACAGAGGAATATGTCTCATCATAATTATTTGTGAAAATCTTTATTTTCACATAAACATCCATATATTGCATAGAAACTTTATATTTCATGTGTTTGGACTGCAGATTTATTTTCACATATCGAACTAATATTTTCATCACGTCTTTTCCTTTTTACTTTTGTTCTTGGCCAAATTTATGTCTACTTTATATGATAGATCTATGTGCAAGATCCTCTTTTTATCACGTGATATTCTTGCGAAAATCATTGTCGACAACTTTACCTTTTCGGTTCCATTTTTCTTTTGTGACATAACTTGTTGAGATCTCTTTCTTCCTTTTTAGGTACCTAACCTCTTCTGGGGTTTTACAATTAGTTATGTCTTGACACTTTTTTAGAGTACATGCCTTCTTAATACAACTTCTAAGTTGTATGCTTCTCTTTATTTAAGATATTTATATTGGAACCGATTAACCTCTCATGCTTCTGGCATGTCTCATTTTTATTTATACTAATTGAAGCATTTTAAGTTGAAATAAGAGATTTAAAAATTTTCATTCAGGTCACTAACATATTTTGTAGCATTTCATAAATGCAATTTTGATTAACTTCTGGTCCATACTGATATATTTGAGGATCTATATTTGATAGTAATAATGCATTTCATGCATTCTCTTTTCTAGTTACTCAATTTCTCCTCCTCATGTTAAGAAAATTTTGTCGAATAACAGTCAACTAATTATACAGTATAAATCTTCTAAATCTATTTGTTTCTTTTAGGAACATTGTTTTGTTCCATTTAGAGACAAACAAGAAGAAGGAGGTTCTTACCCAACATATGTCCCAACTTTTTTTTAATATCCATCTATATGCATTGTACTAGATTGGTAAGAATAAATATCGCACATTTTAATTTTTAAATGAGAAATATTTGGCTCCTGACTAAAAGCCAATTTTATTAGGAGAATTTTGTTGCTTTGATATCTATAAGTACTGCAATATATTAAATCAAATATGCCAATACTAAAATGAAAAAATTTGTTCTCATAAATATTGATTAAGCTATTCACGGAAGTATTACAAATAATTTTACCAAATCAATTTATTAAACAGGCTTTTCAACATTAAAAGCCTGATATATAAATTCACTAGTATATTTAAAATCAAGTTTTGGGAATCACATAGTCCGGAAATATTTATCTAGATAATCTCGCAAACTTCATGTTGCAAGTTAATGTCAATCACACATCTTACCATTTTATATAGATACATCTATCAAATATTGAATACTTGTATGACTTATGTGCTTCTAAATGGGCCCATATATATTTCTAGAAATGTAGTGATCCATTCAAAACAAAATATAACTAATGATATTTTATAATCAATTTTCTTTGAGAACAAGCAGTACATACGAATTCTTAAAAATGTTGGCTATTCGGAAGAACCTTCTGGTTCTTCAATGGATATCAATACATAATCTTCAATAATTTGTTACATCATATGGTTTAAGATGATCAAACAAGTCATGTCAACAATAAATCTAATTGTATCAATAAACTTCTGGTTTACTGTACCATGTTTTATTACCAACAATAAATTTTTTAATATAGTATATGATTGATGATATCCATTTATAAAATTGATATGAAAAATATATCTAATATCAACTCATACTTATATTCCAGTAGTCTTCCCCTCAAGTTCGAGTCATTCAAACATGATTCCTTTATTCATATATTTCATAAACAATTATAAGCATATAATAGACTAAGGCCAATAACCCATCTTTTGCTTGGAAGCCCAAGTATTTTCTAATTCATACATAGTTATGGACTTTAATCCAATTATGCTATAACACTTACACTCTTTGGAGAACCAAAGTTATGATGTAGATCTATGGGTCATATTTTTTACTATCAATACTTTGTCTGCTCATAAAGAAAAATCAGTATCAGTTTTTCTGAAACTATATTAATACTATTACATCTAATCTTCAAGAACTATATAATTTAAAAGGAATATGAAAGACAATTTTATTTCAATATATTATTAACATAATAACAAATAATTATGAGTATCGCAGATTTAACTTGCAATACACATAGAGAACACACAAAAATGATGAAGAACATTTACAATGAACTTTAAAAAATAAAGTACAAATAAGACTCAATGTTCAAAATATAGACATTTAAAATATTCAAAACTAATATTGAATCAGATCATATAAATAAGATATAAATAAACAAAATACAACTAGTAACTTTTGGGTCTATTTGATCTATTTAGTTTTATATCACACACTTATCAATATCACAATATCAAATTCTTATAACAATTTGTTTCTCACAAATCATAATAAATTTAAAGACCGATAAAAATTAAACATTATACATATAGCATTCTAGGCATATAGTTACATATCTTCTATTTTTATATATGCTTTTGGCATCTATTTTTCTTCAGAACTTATTGCTTTCAGGCATTAGAATCGCTTTTGATATTTTCATAATATCACATGGTCTTTTTATTTCACAACCATTTTTTTTAACATTTGCTTTTCAATAAATTAATACATATTTGTCTATATGACTTCTAGTCACATTATAACATTTGTTCATAATTTTATCATATTGATCATAGGGCTGTTACTAATTCTTCTGTTATGATTCAATAGTCAAGCCCCAAGATTATTGCCCTTTTAGTTATCAGTTCTACTGATACAATGTGATCATACTCTTTATCACTCTTATGGATATATTCCTTGCTTTCAATAGCACGCTATCATTTTTCTCAACTATTAGTCTTCAGGACTATAATAAAATTTTCAAAACTACGAAATTCTTTTATATTGTTTAATTTTTTAAACCATCAATCTTCAATACTTTAATATAGATTATCAAATTATGACAATTTTGTCATGCCGTCTGTTACTACCATAAGATGGTCTTTTATCAAATAATCATCATAACATGATGTGGCTTCTGGCCATCTAATTACAAAATCAAGAGTACAATGGCTATTAGCCATTTATTTATATGTTTAACATTTTACTTTCTAATACAACAATTAAGTAATATTAGAGATGATAATCATATATAGTAATGTTATAGATGAACATAAACCTCCTAGCAAATCAAGAAATATAAGAATAATATGATCATGAAAATATAAGAAAAGTAAGAAATAAATTTTTTTTTTCATATCTCAATATGATAAATAAAATATTCGGCTACCAATAAATCAATAAGATTAATATGCAAAACCACCATTTTCTCTAAATAAATTGGAGAAATCTTACTAAACTGTTCGGATCAAACTATCTTCATTCAACGAATAAAATATCAACGTGTATCAACTAGAAGCCATGAACTCTAATGGTGCCGGAGTGGTTATCTAGCATGACTAGAAATCATGTGGGCTCTGATAGTAGAGTATCGTGCTGATAATGTGTTGTGAAATTAACCAGTAAAGAAAGTAGATTAAAGAAAAGATGTGGATAAGAAAATGAGAGAATGATATTGTATTCCTTCACTTGCTTCACTTGCATCACAATACAATGGCATGCCCTATTTATAGGCATAGTCTTACATATGAGTTACATTATTACTTAAATGATAGATAGTGGATAATAAACCACATGAATGTGAAGTGGAGGTGAGTTACAAGATTAAAAACATAGTGAAGAAGTAATGGAGTAGTGAAAGAAAAGTGCTTAGTGGGAGTTGATGAGGTTGAAGAGGAAGAGGAGATGGACATCCACATTTGATAATATTTATAACAAAGGGATGTATTGTCAATAATAAAATTATAAAAAAAAATCTGAATAAGCTATTAATATAATGAACCAATCTCTTGTATTGCTATTCAATAATTCCAACCTCAGCTATCATTTGAATTTAATCTTTAGTTGCAGGTAGCTGAGGGGTTTCATGGCAGCTTAAACGAGCAAGAAATCACCACCAATTATTTGCATAATATTTTAATGTTAGGATAAAGAATGCTACTTTTGGCAGAGAGTGCTTTTTCTTTAAAAAGAACCAAGCACAATGAAACATTAGCTTTTTCTTTATAAGTCCTGTTTTATCTTGGATTCTCTATTATTACCATGCTTTTCTAAAGAGCAAAGTACACGATATTTTTTTTATGAAGGATTTAGTCAAATTACATTTTTGCATCCTTTAGTTTTAAAAATTATACTCGGAATCTCCTTTAATATATCTTTTTATCCTCGGAGGTAGTACATATTTTTTTTAAGAAAATAAAATCATCATCATCTTCTTCGGCTTTATTTATCATAATAAAAATAAAATGATATTGGTTTCTTTTACTGAAAAAGAAAATTTTTTACAATACATTTCAAAATAAGAAAAGAGGGAGTATTATTTTGTTTTAAAAAAAATATCTTAATCTACAAAAATCTTTGTATATCTATATCTATAATTTAACTAGGCCTCAGGGAAATACATGTAATTATACTGCTTTCTTTAAGGATTGATTTTATTCGTCTCCCTACTTACTAATTTTTCATAAAGGCACCGATTTTCTTTATTCTATAAAAGGGAGAACCTTAGTCCCCCCACTAGTTAAAGTTCAGAGCCAAACGCTTTTCCTTTTTAGCTTTTTCTCTTCTTTCAAACGGAAGGGTCACTATAACACCCCTCATGGAAAATTTGAACTTGGCCCTGTTCATCCATCTGAAAGGAGTTATCCCTTCTTCAACTCCTGCCTTATGGTAAGCATGCGCAATACTCACTTTTGTTCATGTTCCTTCTATTCAGATTTGCGATAACTGATGTTTCTGCATCAACTCCATCAAAATTCTAGTTTTCAGAAACAGTACTTTGTTCAGATTAATTGAATTGATTTGTGCACAATTTCATTAATTACCCTCAATCCGCAACCATCTCAACTGTTATTTGGGTTGAACATGAAAATCTGGGATGAAATTTCTTCTTCATTTACAGAGTGAAAAATCATTCTCATTCACTGAGTTTCTAGCAGAAACCAAGTTTAAGCTTAGTTCCGAAAGATTCCTGTGTTCCTAATTTCAGCTATATGATCAAATCCAGGAAAGGATAGAGAACAGATAAGGTCTGAACTTGGAGCTACCACTGGACTTACTTTTTTTGCAAGCACCCATGATGTTCAAGTCCTTAATTTCTGCAATTGTTTCACTAAGCTTCTTGCCAATATTCTCTGGCACGACTGTAGCTGATCTGAACTCTGATGGACAAGCTCTCTTGGACTTTGCTTCCAGTGTCCCACATGCCCGAAGACTCAACTGGAATGATTCTGCTTCAATTTGCAGCTCATGGGTGGGTGTAACTTGTAACCCAGACAAAACTCGGGTCATTGCTATTCATCTTCCAGGAATTGGCCTCAAAGGCCACATTCCAGAAAACAGCATAGGAAAACTAGATGCCCTTACAGTACTGAGTCTTCACACCAATGGCCTTAATGGGAAGCTTCCTTCAGACATCCTTTCCATTCGTTCACTCGAGTATGTACACCTTCAGCAGAATAATTTCTCAGGTCCAATCCCTTCATCTGTCTCTCCTAAACTCATTGCACTTGATATTTCTTTCAACTCCTTCTCTGGCACTATCCCACCTACATTTGTCAATCTCAGAAGACTCACCTGGTTGTATTTTCAAAACAATTCCATCTCTGGACATATCCCAGACTTCAACCTCCCAATGCTCAAATATCTTAATTTGAGTAATAATAACTTGAGTGGCTCAATTCCAAACTCTATCCAAAAATTTCCTCACACTTCTTTTCTTGGGAACTCTCTTTTGTGCGGGCCACCTCTGAATCATTGCTCTGCAGTCAACCCTTCTCGATCTCCTCCGTCTGCTTACCCCCCAGTCACTCCATCAAGTACCCACAGTCAAAAAGCTACCAACCCAAAGAAAAGATTTGGATTGGCTTCTATACTTGCTCTGGTAATTGGGGGCTGTGCGTTCCTAGCTCTCCTAGTTTTGGTAATCTCTTTGTGCTGTTGCAAGAAGAAAAACGGTCAAAGCAGTGGCATACTGAAAGCGAAGGCAGCTTGTGCAGGAAAGAACGAGATTTCAAAGAGTTTTGGAAGTGGAGTACAAGAGGCTGAGAAGAACAAGTTGTTCTTCTTCAGAGGGTGCTCTTATACCTTTGACCTTGAGGATTTGCTAAAGGCCTCAGCTGAAGTTCTTGGAAAGGGAAGCTATGGAACAGCCTACAAGGCTGTTTTGGAGGAGGGAACAACAGTGGTGGTTAAGAGGTTGAGGGAAGTTGTGGTCGGGAAGAAGGAGTTTGAACAGCAGATGGATATTGTGGGGAGAGTAGGAAGCCACCCTAATGTCATGCCTCTTCAAGCTTATTACTATTCCAAAGATGAGAAACTCCTAGTTTGCAGCTTCATGCCAGGCGGAAGCTTATTTGCCTCATTGCATGGTACGTTTATGTTTCCCCTATGATCCTGCTCTGCTTGCTTCATTTAGTCCATGCACTGACCCTTTTTCTAGCATTCCAAAGAATGGAGAAAGTGAAACTCTTCTTTCCTTCGATCCAAATTAGGATTTTTTCCCCCAAAGGGAGCATCATCACATTACATACTGTAAATTAGGTAGACTGACTAAATAACCTTTCATTTTCCAGAAAAATAGCTTCTATAGTCTAAAATATTCCCTAGATCATGAAGACAGTCAAACATCTCAACGAATAAAGCCTTTTGACAGTCAAAAGCTTTGGCTCCAGCCTTCCATTGAGAACTGAAATTTAAATTCGACGACGACAAGAAAAATTTAGAACCAGATTAGGTCCCCCGTTGTTATCATTCTGCAGCTGCTTTAGATTTTTTTATATGGTTAAATATGAGTAACGAAAAAGGGTGAAGTGAATGTCAGCTGAAGCGTTTGAAGGAACTCTCTAAACGATTCATTATTCTGGCAGAATTGTGCTCAGTTTGTTTGAGCCAAAAACTTCACTTGATCACAAAATTAAGGAAATTATAATCAAATTCCTCGCACGCTTAAACTGCATACGCATTTGTGAGAAGATCATTTTGTAATTAATAGCTTGGTGCATCTTCTGATAACCCAACTGCTAGTCCAATTTGTGCATGTGCAAGCAGCTTAACTACTACTAATAGTGAGCTGAATGAACATTTGCAAAAGCAAACACTTAACTACCATGAAGATTCTTCACTTGGTTTTGTTTTATTAGTCTTCTATTCATCTAAAATTGTCAGCTGCGGTAATGTTGATATATCTGCCTGAATCTTCGATCCCAAAACAACACCAGGAAACAGGGGAGAGGGAAGAACTCCACTGGACTGGGATGCAAGAATGAAGGTCTCACTTGGAGTTGCCAAAGGAATCGCTTTCATACACTCCGAAGGGGGTCCAAAATTCACACACGGCAACATCAAGTCCACCAATGTCCTCCTAACCCAGGACCTCGACGGCTGCATCTCCGACGTCGGATTGCCTCCGCTGATGAGCACTCCGGCAACCATGTCCAGATCTAACGGCTACCGAGCGCCAGAGGTGACGGACGCCCGAAAAATCACCCACAAATCTGATGTCTACAGCTTCGGGGTGCTCCTCCTGGAAATGCTGACGGGGAAATGCCCGATGAGATACCCTGGTCATGACGAGGTGGTGGATCTGCCGAGGTGGGTTAGGTCCGTCGTCCGAGAGGAGTGGACGGCGGAAGTGTTCGACGAGGAGCTATTGAGAGGGCGATATGTGGAAGAGGAAATGGTGCAGATGCTTCAGATTGCGCTGGCGTGCGTAGGGAAGGCGCCAGATATGAGGCCCAGGATGGAGGAAGCTGTGAGAATGATGGAGGAAATCAGGCAGCCGGAGTTGAAGAACCGGCCTTCTTCCGAGTCCGACTCCAATCTGCAAACACCTTGAATGTTGCATCAAGAACGAGCCGGAGGTTGAGTGAGAGAGAGAGAGAGAGAGAGAGCATTTTCATGGTATTGGGGACAAATTCGAGCACCGATTCACGACAGGTATTCTGTGTCTTCTGCCAATAACAATTGCATTGTATAATAAAAGTGGCTGCTTCTCCCCGGTGGGATTTTAGTTAATGTTGATTCCATTTGATGCCTGTTTCCTATCATGTGGGCTGTAGCTGTCTTTGTTCAGTGACAAATCAAGCCTATTTTCATCCTTATAAAGCCTAGAGTTTCATTCTTGTTCTGTTAAAAGTACATTATACATGCATATACCACCGAGCACTAGTTGTTTCTAATTCCTTGAAGGAGTAAGATAAACATGGTGAGACCGCTTACTCCATTAATTAACAACTTGTTAGTAAAAAGAAAATGTTTATAACATATTTCTCTAATAACATTTATGATCGATCTTTCTTATTGGCCTGAAATAATTATAATGAATCTTGAAGTAGAGCCCCCGGGCCCGCACAATGATCTGGCCTGGATGCTTACCTAATCTTATCTTTTCATCGATTCGAATTCAATATTTTTAATTAATTATTTTATATAAAAATGATTTTTTAAAAAGTGATTATTGAGAGATTATTTTTATTTTAAATTTTATACTTATTAGAATAATATCTTGAAAAACAAAAGTAAAAAAATAAATTTAAACCGCTAAAACAGATTAGAAAAGATGAGAGCTGGTTGTGCACTCAAAACAGATTCGTCGCATATCCTTCCACTTTGGTCAGGGTTTGTGCGTCATGTTTCGTTCCAAACTCGAAGTCAAGATTGTTTGGAATGAATAAGCCATCGCGGACAATGATTTATTTCCTAGAAACAGTTTCCCACGTACGGATACCAAGCAACTTGCATAGCCTCCCTTATCAGGGATCGTGTTCCGACGATGGCAAAACCAACTTGCGGGACATATAATGTGCAAAACAAGCTTTTGTTTAATACGAAACCGGGTGCTCATCGGCAACCAAACTTGTCAGATTTGGAGATTTGGATCGTCTTCATCTAAATGAATAGTACAAATTTAAAATTTATATTTAATTATTTTTAAATAAAAATTATTTTTTTAAAAAAATATTGTTTAAAGATTGTCTTTATTTTAAATCCGATACTAATTAACATAATTATTTTAAAAATTAAAAAGATAAATATGAATTGTCCAAAACAAATTTAAACAATCCAAATCGGATGAGTTCAGGATAGTAAGTCGAAACATATTTAGTCTGAAAGACTCTTGAGATGGATAAAAATAATAAGTGTTAATACAATGTTTGGCCCTTATAATTTATCTTTAATTTGGTTTTAGTCTATATAATTTTAAACATAGGTCTTAGTTTCTTAAGAGAGGAAATGATGCAGGTTCTTATTTAAATATAAGAAGTAACATTTTGGACGCAATATAAGAAGTAACATTTTGGAAGCAATAATTGAGGAACCAAAACCTACCGTTTAAAATTATAAAAATCAAAACCGAAATAAGAACTAAATATCAGTGATGACGATGATGGAAAAGAGGAAATGAGAGGAACGAGGGGGGGATGGTACGTACTTACAGTGGAGGTATTTCATGTTGAAATTTGCAACTCGAGAGGAACTTGTGGGGCAGCGCAACCTGAGGAATCTGCCTGGGGACGTGATGGTGTTGGATAGGAACAAAATTGTGTTTACACCTGTAATTAATTGCAGGTGGCAGGTGCAACAAGTATATAAAATGAGAGAAGTAGAATATCATTTTCATGAGGCGGTGCGTAAAAGCACTTCAAGGCAATAGCACCATATCATGCGGTGCAATTGCATCAGAGGACGTCTTCCTTTTATTTCTAACCTTTTAAAACACCAACCAGGAGAGTTTGTGTCTTATATTGAACCAACGGTGTTCTTTATTTTCATAACAATATCATCACAAATCTCCCAACTGTCCAAGTTCAAATACTCCTTGAACTTGAACAATTTTTACATAAAAGTACAATGATGAATCCCAAATTATTGCGTAAAATGCCACAAGGAGTATGAAATATTAATATGGGGGATCATCATCATCATCATCATCAGTGCTGGATATAGAAAGTGAAAAGATGATCCTTCCAGGCGTTGGTGCTACCCACATCCAGATACATCTCATAAAAGCTGACTTCCCCACTCCATGTTACAGACAGGGCAGTGATGCTCCGAGTCCCATAAACACCCTGCATCTCATCAGTATTACCACTATAACAAGAACAAAGAAATGAAATGGAAAGGAACGTTGAACGAGAAATGAAGAAGGTACCAGTGCGGTTTGGCAATGGACAAAAATGGGGCTCAAGGAAAGTTCCCAGTCAGGAGAGCAGATGTGAGGGAGGAGGGCAGGTGGGGATTTAACAGAGTCCTTCATAATAGCACCAGCAATGTGGCTGAGTGAAACTGGTTTTTCCCCGTACTTGGCAAGCTCTTGTTGGAACCGCACACGAAGCCTCTCAGACTTGTGCCAAGGCGAGTCTAGCTGAGCGTTACACAGAACATGGAGGCCCGGCTTCACCTCCTGTATGTAGAACTTGCCAGCCTCTGCTTTTGGTCCCCTGTTGCTCATATAAACCATGGATTTCGTCTCTATGTCTCCCACCACCAAGTTGAAGCCGTTGTAATACTCTCCTTCTGTCTTTAGCTCTTCTGCAAATTCCCTCGGGCTCTTTCTGCTCTGTCACACCCACACCCACATGAATATATATATATATAAATATAGTACATAATTTTTCAGCATGTAAATGTATCTCAATATGTACCTTGAGAAACAGAAGGGGAAGCTCGCCCCGGGTTCTGGCACGAGGACTAGTGTGAGGTTCCAAGACGTTAGTAAGAAAAGCGATTCTTCCGTCTCTGCAACAACCCAGCCATGTCCCTCCCCCCAACTCGTCTCTTCCTCCCAGGATCTCTGTTTCCGAATCTTCCCACCATGACGCTGCCTTCGTCGCCCTTCATTTCACCGACATTAACATTAATTCACTCCTCAGTTTTTTTCATTCATATATATATATATATATATATTAATCACTGTCTACATAGTCAATAAGAAGGATGGAAGGAAGGGAAAGAAAAGCTTGCCTGTTGTGGTACTCGTCTCTGTTGTTCAAGAGGATCAAAGGGTAGAGTGGGTGGGCTTGCCAAAGAAACGCCACTATGCACATTTGGAATATTGAAGGGTGCTGGCCGATACGGAAGGAAGGGCTGAGTTAGAGAATTGATGATGACCCAGAGAGTGAGGGATATAAATATATAGAGTCTATTATGCTCTGATTAAAAAAAGAAAAAAAACATGATTGAACATGGTCGTTTCCCAAAGGACACATATATACGTGATTAAGAATGAATGGCCCTATGAAGAGGTACTGTGGTCCTTTGTATTGGGAGCATATATATATCAATAGCTCTGTTACTTAATATGGAAATTTATTTAGTTTTTATTTTGATTCTAAATATAAAATCTTAATTCATTTTGTCTCTCATATTTATCTATTTTTTTTAATATAATTCTCATAATAATAGTAAGTCTAACCAATATACTGAATTAATAAGGATATTTTAAGAAAGATAACACCTATTTATTACAGATAACTAACTTAACAAAATTTTTTTTAATCTACTCAAATTAGTTAGCTAGTTCTTATATTAAGGATCGAAACTAATATTTCCTTGCGAGTATCATGCGTCGCTCCAGTATTTGGTGCGGACCTGCGGATATACGTCTGATTCAGAATTTGACAAAAAGACGTGTGAAGGAAAAAAAAAACCCTCTAAATTAACCAATAATACTAAGAGAAAATTCCAAAAAAAGGTCCTTGGAATATAGAAAATTTCAGATTGGGTCTTGAAATTTCGAAAATGACAGAAAGGGTAAGTGACCCAATTTGTCATTTGTAAAATCAAGAGAAATTGACAATTTTACCCTCATTTGTATTCATTTACTACAATGATTTAAGGAATCACTATAAGGGTTTAGGCGTTACTTAAATTTTGTGTAGCGAATAACTACTCATTTTTCATAGTCAGGTGTCTTATTATTAACTACAACTAATTTTGTAATCATTAAAACAATGTAAGCATTACCTAGATTTGTGTAGAGAATAAACTACTCATTTTTTCATAGTCATGTACCTTATTATTAACTACAACTAATCTTGTAATTACTAAAACAGTGTAAGCGTTACCTATATTTGTTTAGAGAATAACTACTAACTTTTGCTTAGCCAGGGGCAAAATTGTCAATTTGTCTTAATTTCACAAATGACAGATTGGGTTATTGACCCTTTCTGTCATTTTTGAAATTCCAGGATCCAATTTGAAATTTTTTATATTCCAAGGATCTTTTTTGAAATTTTCTAATACTAATAATTAAATATAGTAGCATATCATTTTCAGTTTTCAATGATTTTGTGAGATTGGGATATATTATTCCTATGAAAACCATGACCTGCCGTTGAGCTTCGTGGCTCAACGTGATCCGTGTGAGGATCCATTAGTCACGCACGTGTCGCCCAAAAATTAGGTGCGGATATGTGTTTGATTCAGAATTTGATACGACCTCATCTAGTCTTAATTATAAGATTTTATTTATAATCTATAAACGAGATATTATAATTAGAAAAAGATTAAAGAGAAAATTATAGTAATGTCTTGCTGGACTATTAAAAAATCATAACTCTAATGATAAGTCAACAATTGAAACCATGTGTTATTTCTTGTTCTGTGCTT